GGTTTAAATCAAAAAGGTGGTTTTTTTTTTTTTCCCCTTTTTTTTTTAAAAAAAAAAAAAAAAAAAAAAAAAAAATAGAGCGAGCAAAACAACAACAGAAAGAAACAAAACAAAATTACCGGTTATTTGATTGATGTTTCGAGGTTTATCACATTGAAACACAACTAAAATGGTGATAATGATGTTATTGTTGTCGGTGGTGATGGTGATGATAATAAAACCGTATGAATTTCAAAGATGCTGATGTTGGTGGTGGTGGTGATATAAGACGATTAATGAAACTGGAACTCGAAGAATTTCAAAACTTTGATGGCCTTTTTGTTTTATCCACAACAAATCAACAACCAAAAAAAAAACTTTGAACAAAAAAAGTTTTATCTTTCCATTTTTTTTTTCGTCAATTCTCAACAACAACAAACAAACGAACGGTTTACTTTGGATTTTTGTTGTTGAAATGATAATGATGATGATGATTGAAAATCACAAAACTGATTGCAATTTTTCTCTCTCTCTATCTCGTGTTTATGGTTGGCAGCAGCATTCACTAATCAACGAAAAAAAAAACACACCACCACGGTTAAATAATAATGATAAAAACGTGGGTCCACAATACACAAATATAGCCAAGACTGAATATATATAGAGGCATCCTGTTTTAAAAAACTGCTGATATATGGGTTGCAGGTATAATACACTATGGCCTGTTATATCATCAATATTGGCTACCGAATGTGGTAGTAGTAGTATGTATGATGGTATAGAAATATGATTATGGCGTGGTCTTTGGGCGAATTTTTTTTTTGGATTTGATAATAGTGGTGGTGATAGTGGAAGTGATAGCAGCATACCCCAATGGTGCATACGGCAAAAACATTCGAATTTTCAGTTTTGTTCGAGGAAAAAAAAATTCAAAAAATTTTTGAAATTTTTTTTTGAAAATAATCAATATTGGCGCGCGTGTTTGTTTCTCTTTTCTTTATCCCAATCTTATCCGTGTGTTTGATAAAAGAAAAAAATTCAAAGATGAAAAAATGATGATAAGAAATTCAAAGAAAATTTGATCGAGATATGATTGAAACTATGGTTGATAATAATATCATTCAAGATATGTATCTTTTGTAAAAAATTTTTCATTTTCATTTCGTGAAATCAAAAGTTAATTTGTTTTTTTTTCATTTTTGTCAAGTAAGTATTTCAACTTATACAGCAAAAGTTCAGTTCATTTCTGTTTTGATCAGTACTTTTGTTAACAACAACAACGTACTTGAAATATTTCAAAACAAACATTTTTTTTTTGAAATGAATTCCAATTATCAATCAAAATAAGGATAAGTGTGTGTTAAATAAAAATTTTTTTAGATATAAAAAGAGAAACATTGATTTGTATCATTATTTTTTTTATTATTACAAATATTTTATTTATCGATTAAGTGTCTTATCTTTCATCAAAATCTATAGCTAAACATAGAGATTATAAATATCGTAATTTTTTTTTTGATTGATTATCACATTATTATTATTATTATTGGAAGAGTATTTTTGTTGTTGTTGTTGTTGCAATTCGATTCAATCATCAACAGTTATTTCAATCGTATGCAAACATTTGAATAATGAATTATGTTGATTATCTAGATCACCATTATCATTATCATCACCGTTTTGGTTGTTATTAAAACGAACATTTCCTTTTTTCATTAAAATTTGTTGATATTTTTCATCAGGTAAACAGCAAATTTCTAATTTATAAACACCTGAATATAAAAATATTAGACCACAATTATGTTGATAGGATTTTTTTGTTTGTAACTGTAAAAATAAGATAATTTTTTGTAATTAGTAAAAAATTTTTTTCTATGGAATAAATTACAAAATTACCTCATTAATACATAATGATTCACAACCATTAATAATTATTTTATCATTAATATTATAATTATGTTTATTTGTCAGCGAAACATTCTGATAATCTTGATAATAAACCAAATATAAACGTAGTAATTTTAAATTTGTATCCGAATTATTTAATAAATTAATTTGAATTGATAATTGTTCACCAGTTTTAAGGCCATTTATTTCACCAAATGAACTACGAAATATAGTGGAATTTAATTGAATTTCTGTATGAAAAAAATACGGAAGAAAAGGGTTAAAATGATGAATCAAATGAAGGGTTAAATTCAAAAAAAAAACCTTACCACTTTGTATTGGCGGTATCAGCAATGATTTAAGTAATTCATTAGAATATGGTACTTTTTCAACAAACACTATACCATCATCATGATCATTATTTTGCATTATCCAACGTAAATTAATTTGTTTTAATAAATGTTGTTTACATTTTAATAATATTGCTTCTAATTTTTCATCAGTTGGAAAAATATTTGTTAAAAAATCAATATTTTTTGTTGTCGTGGTTGTTGTTGATTTATTACTATGATGATGATTTTGTAATAATGATTTTTGAATTAGTTTACAATCATCATTATTATCATCATTATTGGCAAGATTTAATGGACAACGCTTAATTGGTACAGGTATACGACATTTTTCTTTTGGTTCAATTAACATTTCTTTATTCGTTGAATAATTTAGATTAATTTCTTGTTCGGTTGCATTCAATGTATCGAATACTAAATAACATTCATCCATTCTATATATGAGTGAAGGGGAAAGGGAAAAAGGAAAGCAAAGAGTTAAAAAAAAGTTCAAAAAATGCATTAAAACGATCATGTTACATCAATGTTGGAAAAATGAAGAAACAAAAATTAACACTTACTGTTCAGCTTGTATAACATCCCAATGTGTAATTAGAATTGATGATTTAATTTCAATAATAAAATAAATATTTACACGACGACAAAATCCAGAATTTAATCCCGGTCCACCACTATATTCTAATTGTAAACATAATTCAACAAGCTAGTTAAAAAAGGGGAAAGAAAACAAAACCGTAAAACATTCATTAACCATATTTGAAATGAACAAACAAACAAAAACAAAACAATATTTACTTTTGGTTGTGAAATTTCATCGGAAAAATCCATTTCATCATCCATTTTGTTTGTTACAAAATTGTTGTTGTTGTTGTTATTCGTCATCAACATTGTTGTTGTTGAAAGATCATTTGAACTTTTTCTTGATGATTGCAGTTCATTAATAAAATTGGCCAATTTTTTCGATCCTAATAATTGTTGTTTTTTTATTGTTGTTGTCGGTTGTTGTTGTTGTTGTTGAATACCAGATTCATTAATATTTGTAAATTTATTGCTTTTAACATCATTTTGATCATTATTTAACGATTTAGCCGCCAGTATAAAATCACCTTTAGCCGATAATTTTATATCAAATTCAATTGATAAACCAGGACCAAATGGTAATTGATTTTCAATCCTTTCAATATCCCATTCAATATCGATAAGATTTTTTTCTAGATGAAAATTTTTCTTCTGTTTCTTTTGCTTATTTCGATGATGATGATTTTGTTGTTTTGGATAGATAATTTTCATATTAATCAAATCAATCAATTCATCCATATTCGTACTGATATTGGTCAATTTTATACGATAATTTTTTTGTTGACCTTCAAACAGGGAAATAAAATTTGAATTACCAATATAACAATCCGGGAACATATCTTTAATATTGTTGTTAATAATATTAATTCCTTTAGCCAAACAAATATCATCATTTAAATCCATAGCATTTGTACATTGTGCACACATTAATGGTAAACGTTGTACAATTTCAACAGTAAATTTTGATGGTAATTTTAATTTTTTTGCATTCGGTAATTGTTTCAAATGACAATCTGATTTTATACCAAGTGTATGAATTTTATAACCAAGTATATCTAATATACCGGATGACCGAGGTATACCGGTCAATGAAATATTTGTACATGTTGAATTTGGTTGTATTTTTAATGATGTATCATGTTTTGGTTCGAATACAACACCATCAGTCATCATTATTATTGACGTTATATTCAATTCGATAGGTAGATAATTATGTAAACTTAATGATATTGAACCAATATGACCTTCAGACCAATAAAAATTCATTTTCGTAACAGAATTTGCATTTTTATAACTATTTCTTTCGGGTGATCGATTCAATTGTAATGGTGTATATATGAATGGTCCAGAATATTTATATTCAGTTTCTTCATCATTATCATTATGATTATATCGTAGTTTATAAAGTTTTAGATACGGTTTTAATGGTTCAATTTTAAAATAAACAACCGTTGGAAATTTAGTAAAATTTACCGATGGTATCGTTACACCGTTTGTTAATCTTAATGGTACAGGTGAACCTTCACCACATTTCGTTGATAATGATGATAATTTTGTTGCAAATTCTTGTCGTTGATTAGCTGTTATATTTGTAAATAAACATTGTAACATAAAACTTAAATGACGAATTGCTAATGTTTCATTTTGCATTTTTAATGATGTAGTTATAATTTCTTGTAATAATTGTACATGTATGGCTGACCAATTTATATTACCACATTTTAAACGTTCATCATATTCATTTGGATTCAATGTTAAACCATAACCATACAATGCAGGTAAAAGTAGAAAATAACATTTTTCCCAATCTAAATTTTTTGCTTGTGAAACAGTTTTTAATGCTGCAAAACGTTTAAAAAATGCTGCTTTTCGATAAAAACCAATCGTTTCGTATAGTTGTGAAATACGAAGTAAACGTTCGATCTATTTTGACAGGAAAGGTAAGTAGGTAGGTAGGAAAGTAATGAAGGAAACAATCGATTAATCGATATTCAAAAGGAAACAAACAATCAAATTCGAAATCAAAAAAAAAAATTTACCTGATCTTCAATCGATTGATTTAATGATATAAATACAGCATTCTGTATGAAATCCGATGCTTTTAAATAACGGCGAAAAAATGTTAATGTTTTTGCCGCTTTAAAACTACATTCAAATTCAATGACAGCCGCACCACGATACTAAAATTTATGCGAAAAAAAAATGAAAAATGAAAAGATAACTCGAAAAAAAAACGAAAAATCAATCAATTACCAATGCATAATTTGAAGCAGCTTCTTTATATTTATCATAAAATTGATCAAACGTAAGTATACTTTTCATTAATATTTTATTTGTTATGATTTGTTGATCAATCTGGGAATCTTCCAATGCAATTTGTTTCATTGATCGACCTAATTCAGTACGTGCTATTTCATAATCTTTTCTTGATAATAAATCATTAATCAATCCATTTGAATTGAATGAATATTCATGTCGAAGTTTATGAATATACTGCCAACGTTTTGGAAATAATAACACTAATGATGCTGAACAAAGTCCTTCATATGCTGATGCAAGCCATAATTTATCATTAACACCTTTAAGATATTCAATAGCAGTTATATAATTTAAAAATGATTCTTGTGGTAAACCAGTCATCAATGAAAGATCGGCAATATGTTTTTGCATACGACCCAAACATTTTCTACGAAACGATCGTGTATCCGTATCTAAACCAATTAAATCTTTTTTTTCACATGGTGCCATTAATAATGGTATTTTATCTTTTTTTTCTCTTGTTTTATCTAAACGTTTTGATTCCAGTGTCCAAAACAGACCATTTAAAAAATCTTTTGTTTTCAATTGAATTTCTTGACAACATTGTTCATTTGATTCAAATTGAATAAATTCATTTGCAGATGAATGATGCTGATGGCTGATTGATGGATCACAGTTAGACGATGATAATGGCGGGGACAACGATGTTGTCGATGAAGAATGAGCACGTTTATGTGTCGTCGTCGATGTTGTTTGCTGCGCCAAATCATTCGATGATAAATGTAAAACATGAGAATCATTATCGTTTGTTATTGATAACAATTTTGAATCCAATGATTTATTACGAGAATGTGTACGTTGACGATTACGTTGAGAATTATCGTTGAGAATCATATTATCACCATCATTATCATTGATTATCGGTGGTAATGAATAATTATCTTTTGATTCCACTAAAATTTTATCATTTGATTTTGATTTGGTTGGTGTTGAAAGATTCGATTGAGAATTTTTCGATGATATGGATGATGCAGACGACGACGATGATGATGATAAACGATTTACACGGCTTGTAAAACAAGTATGATCAGATGTAATATAAAGTTGTCCACCAATATCAAAATCAAGTATTGGATCAATTTCATTATTAGCTAAATTGTTGGCTGAATTTGTTGTTGTTGTTGTTTCGGTAATTTTTCTATCATCATTATCACCATTGATTGAAGGTTCATCAACAATTTCATTCGATGTTTGATCGCCTGGCTACAAAAGGACAAAAACAAAAATGAAAAAATCGAAAATTTTGTTGTTCCCTCGGATACAAACCTTCGATTCATCGATTGATTCATCATTCGATTGTAAATTTTGTATAATAAAACATTTCGAATCAAACAATGTATTTGTATAGGTATCATGAATTGTTTTATGTAATTCACTAATGGATTCAATTTCATTTTTATTAAATGATTGTGCTATGGTTATCAGGCCAATTAATTTACGATGTGCTTGAAAATCACCCCAATCATTATTATCAATTGAATATGATTGTTTATAACGTATACGTATTTGCCGTTCGAATCCATTAATTTTATTATTCAATATTTTTAATTCATTTAATTTGATTATATTTTTATAAATTAAATCGAATAATTGTTGATTCATTTGTGGACCTTGTGTAATTTTTGGAAATGGAAATTTGATTATTCACCATGAAAACCAAACAAGAAAAACAAGAAAAATACATACCGATCGGTTTGACAACAATCAACAACGATTGATGATCTTCACTGAATTGATCATAATCAGGAACGCTCATGATTGATTTATTCGTTTGTTTGGTTGGTTGTAAATTCTTTAAAATTATTCTAAAGTTTTTCTGAATTTTACATAATTAATTAGAAAAGCTGAATTACAGAAAAATTGAATTAAATCGAAAAAAAAACAAAAACAAAAACAAAAATCGATGGGTGTATAAAAATCAACATTTGTACTATGGAAAATTTTCCTGTAAATCGTTTTGGATAGAAAATCTTTACAGAAATTAGAATCTTTTTTTTTTTGAAAAAAAAATCGTTCGAATCACCAAAATCCTTGAACTTCGGAATTTTTAAAATTCATAATTACCAACCAAAAAAAAACAACCTAATTAAAAAAATAATTACCTGTCCAATAAAATCATCAAAAACCAACGTCCAATAAGGTAAGCTTAAAAATCATAATTAATATTGAATTGATGCAAAAAAAAAGCAATGATGATAATGATGGTTGATTGTAAATCATCATTATCATCGACACCCGCGTGATAAAATTTTTTGTTTGGAAATATAATCCTTAATTAGATTAGGATTTTTCTTTCTTTTATTTTTAAAATAACTTTTATTTATCACCACTTCAAAACATATGTTTTCATTGATAAGAGAAATCAGAATAGGAAAATGAAAAATTTTATTCTCCAGCATATGTCCGCTTGATTGATTGATTTATCTGGATTATCCAATCAATCAATCAAGTTTTTTTGAGGATTATTTTACCAATTCGTACTTCTTAAAAATCACAGCCAATTTGTTCTCAATTTATTATCAGCATACTTCAAAAAAAAAAATTTTCTTTGTCAAATTGAAAATTTTTTTTATATTTAATATAGGTTACAAAGTACATTTGATTTGAAAATTTTATCTTTAAAAATCCCAAAAAAAACGTAATAAAATTGATGCTAACACAACCAAAAAAAATCTTTATATTCATTTGATTTAGAGACACAATTTATATATTGACTTTTATTTTATTTTATTTTTCGTTGATTCGAAACGAAAAAGAAGAAGAAATTAAAGCAATTTTTCGTGTGTGTGTGTGTTTTTTATCGCTAAATCAAACAAAAAATAATCATTATGAACAAAATTGGTTTAATTTTAATCGCTGTTGGTCTATTGACAATAGCTATTATAACAAGCGTTGTTGTTGTATTGAAACCGAAAACAAATAATACACATATTGATATTATAAATGATACATGTCCATATTGTAATGGATCAACATCACAACTTGGTGAATTATGTACAGATTCGGAAGTAAAATCATTTCATCAATATGCTGTTTCAACTGATTCAAATGTTTGTGCTAAAACTGGAAGGTATATATTTGATTGTCAAATGATTTCGTTGTTTGTTTTAATGAAATTTTTTTTTGTTTTGTTTTAAATCTTAGATCGATTATGGATGAAGGTGGTAATGCTGTTGATGCCGGTATTGCCGTATTGCTTTGTATGGGTGTTACTATACCTGAATCGATGGGTCTTGGTGGTGGATCATTGATTGTCTTCTATAATAGTAATTATTATTAATGAATGGATTTTAAATTTGATTTTTCTAATTATATTCTCTATAATCAAACCAAAGAAACAAGTAATAATGCAACGTTTGTTGATGCAAGAGAAGTGGCACCAATAGCATCATCAAGAGATATGTTCAATTCAACAAAAAGTGATGCAGAATTTAGTAATTCAGCATTAGGTTTATTATCGATTGCAACACCGGGTGAATTAGCCGGTTATTGGCATATGTTTAATAAATATGGTTCGAAAAAAATTACATGGAAAAGATTATTTCGTGATGCAATCAATTTTGCTAAAAATGGTTTCCCCGTTGGTAGACATCTGGAAGAAGCAATATCACAAAAACGTGATTTTATAATGGCATATAATAATTTAAAAAATGTTTATTACAATCAAAAAACAGATGATTTTTATAAACATGGTGAAATATTGAAACAACCAAAATTAGCTGAAACATTAACAAATTTATCGTTAGCAAAAGATGCAAAGAAATATTTTTATGAAGAATTATCGACAAAAATTATTGAAGATTTACAAAATAATACAGATTTTCCAAATCAAAAACCAATATTAACAGTGACTGATTTTCATGGCTATATTGTTGACGAAAAACCAGCATATTCATTTAATATTAAAGATGATATTAAACTTTTAACGGCTAGACTTCCAGGTTTGTTGAACAACTGATTTATATATTTAAAAAAAAAATGAATGAATAATTTTAAATTCTTTATTTATCTATATAGGAAGTGGTATATTATTATCATACATATTAAAAATTATGTTACATCCAAAATTTCATCATCTTTATCCAGATGCAAAAGAAAATTTTAATGATTCGGTTTTATTTTATCATCGATTAATGGAATCATATAAATTTGCCTATGCAAAACGAATGTATCTTGGTGATGATAATTATGATGATTGTCACAATATTACAGATAAAATAACAACTGATAAATTTATTGAAAAAATTGTTAACAAAATTGATGATAAAACTACACATCCAAGTAAATCTGGTTTCTACGAAAATGATGTATGTTTTTTGTTGATATTTGTTTGAATGAAATTTATTTATTTATGGTTATTTTAAAAAATAGAAATTTCAAAAAATGGATCATGGAACAGCACATGTATCAGTATTGGATAAACATGGTAATGCATTTGCAGCATCAACAACCGTAAATCTTTAGTAAGTTTTTCTTCAAAAAATTCTTTTACGAAATGAAATCATCAATTTTTTTTTGAAAATAGTTTTGGTAGTAAAGTTATGTCACCATCAACTGGTTTAATTTTAAATAATCAGATGGATGATTTTAATACCGGTAAAACGAATGCATTTGATTTGCCGCCATCACATTCAAATACTATTCATCCTGGTAAACGACCATTATCATCAATGTCACCATCAGTATTTATTGATAAAACTGGTGTACGATTAATAATTGGTGCTAGTGGTGGTTCAAAAATTACAACTGCTGTTGCATTAGTATCATTAAGACATTTATGGATGGATGATGATATTAAATTAGCAATCGATTCGGCTCGTCTTCATCATCAATTATATCCGGATCATATTGAAAATGAAAATTGTTTTCCAAAAAATATACTTGCTTCATTAGAAGAAAAAAATCATATCATTAAACAAATTGAAGAAGGTGATCGTGGTGCAATCGTAATGGCTGTAAGTCGTTCAAAAAATGGTACAATACGTGCTAATTCTGATTGGCGTAAAGATGGTACTATTGATGGTCTTTGAAATCGAACAAACAAACAAAAAAAATCAAAAAAACCAAAATAATTAAAATTCTTATTTTATTTTCAACTTTCATCAATGAATAATTAATATAAAACGGTAAAATACAATTTAAATAAATAAAAAAAAATTTTCTAAGTCAAATTTTTTTGCTGAATGGTTAAAATATAGTTAAATCGATGTTTGGAAATTAGAAATTTGTTATATTGTTTTTGTTTCCTTACTCGGGATGGTTAAAAATAAATAATATTTTGTTGAATCATTCGGAAATAGAGATTTTTTTTTTTTAAATAATCATCGTTAATTTATGGCCAAAATTCATTGATAACATTCTTTGATTTGTAATGTTATTTCAAATTGATTTTGTTGAATTTCATCAATGATAACATTACTTGTTGATAGTATATGTTCTTTAATCATATCGATTGCTAAACGAATTTTTTCCACTTTACCATGAATTTTAAAACCATTCAATGTATTTACTTTAGGTGTTACAATAGTTGTATCACTTGATTCCATAATACGTTTAATTATTGAACCTTTCTTACCGACAACTAAACCAATATAACGTGCAGGTAAAAATAAATTATTACGTATACGATCACCATCTTTAAATGTACATGCTTCAACAAATATATTGAAATCAAATTCATTTGCCGCTTCTTCTAATTTATTTTTAGCCAATTGTACACTATCTTTATCACCACTAATAACAAATATTGGTTCTTCACCATTTACCGGTGTTTGTATGAATGTACCGGTTTCTTGTCGTATTTGACGTATTTTCGAACCTAAAGACACAAAAAAAAAACAATATTGATTTTCAAAAATTATTTCAAAGTAGCAAATACAAAGTTACCTTGTTTACCAACAATATAGGAAACATGTGCCGAACTTTTTACAGCAACTTTAGTAGAAAATTTTTGGCCCATCATTGTTGTTGTAGGATTAACAGTATTAGTTATATTATCACCGAAAATTGAATTACTTGATTGTGAATCATAAAGAATATTGGTCATATTCATATTATCGTCTAATAAATAAGTTAATTGTTGTTGTTGTTGTTGTTGTTGATCGTATTGATTTATATTATCATAAGACATTGTAGATGGATCGTGTATGTTGAATTTTTTCAAACGAAAGAAAAAATAAAAAATTATAAGTCAAATTTGAATGGATTAAGAAGAAAAAGAAAATGTTTCGATGATTTTGATTGATGATTTTGATCGACTGATTGATGTGGAATATAAAAACCGAATGACAATATGGATGTGATTTGCATTGATTCAAATATATTATCTGCTGATGGTGATGGTTTTTGTCTACCAAAAAACGAAATTGAATTTTTTTCCCCTTTGATAAATATTCAAATTCAAAATGTTGACTCAATGATCATTATGATCACCCTTGTCATCATCATCATTCTTCGATGATGATGATCATTATTCATCCTATTCGAATTAGCCATTAACAATCGATTTAATCGATTATTATAGCTTGTTGAATTATTGACATTCGAAAACAAAACAAAAACAAAAAACCAAATCAAAACGAAAAAACAATTTTGTTTTCATTTTTATTCAATAAATATAAATCAATCGATTGACAATTTTATGATGATGATGATGATTTTTCAGAATTAATCATCATTCACAATATCATAATCATCAAGAAGAAAAAACAAATGAAAAAAAAATCATCACTACATCCAAGAGAAACAAAACAAAAAAAATCAAATTACTCTGGTTGTTTTTGTTGCTCGTTTTGTTGGTTTGTCAGTGTGTGTGTCTGTTTTATGTAAACAAAAAAATCAATCCAAACGATGGGAATGGGAGAAAACAAAGGAAACCGAAAAAAATTCGGAAATAATTAAAAAAAAATCAGATTTGAGCAATCAAAAATTTTCATCAACAAGAAAAACCAATTCCGCGATGATAATATCGAATCGAAACAATCGATAGTTTCGCATCTCACTAATTGGTTCATAGAATTTCTGTTTCGAATGTTTTACGAACTTGTGTTGTTGTGTTTGTGGTCATTTCCGATATAATAATATTACCATTTTCGGTTGGTTCATTGATATTTCGATTATTATTATTTGTACCATTAATATTATGTAATGATCCATGTACAGTTGGATTTATCATAATTGTATTGCTGTTGCTGTTATTGATCATTTTATTCATCGTCGATGATGAATTATTATTGTTTATCATCAAAACATCATTATTATTGGTGAGATTGGCCGATTTTGATACGATATTATTTTCGGATCCAGTTTTTTTCAGATCATTAAGAAAAGAATTATTATCACTACCACTGCCACCACCACTACGTTGCGAAGATATTGGCCGTTTACTTAATTGCTGTAATCGAGTATATTGTTCTTGTAATTGTTTTTGTTTATATAATAATTCTTGATGTCTTTGTTCCAATAATTCTTGTCTGGATTGTGCAAAACGTTTTTCTAATAATGCTGCTGTTGCAGCAGCTGCATTACCACAATTTGTTGCTAATAATGCAATATTATCCAGATCAATTCGTCCTATTTTCGTAAGTAAATGAAAAAAAATATTAATTAAATTATAAATCAAATGTTCAATATGACTCTTTTTAATATTTATTTTTCCTTTTCGATGGGTCCCAAAAATAACCGAAAAACAAATAAACAAACAAACAAACATCAACAACAACTTACCATCTGGTATTGAAGATATTCTTGATCGTACACCCGGTGGTTCAGATGTAGCACGAATTGATGAATATGATTTTGATCGTGAAGCTGAAATTGAAATTCCAGAAAAACAAAAACAAATTAATTTTCCAATTTCAAATTGAAATTCTTCGAACAAAATTCTTCAAATCAAAATGTCAAATCGAATCAAATTAAAAAAAACCAAAAGGTAAAAAACAAGGTAAAATTTAATGAAAAAATAAAATTTCAGAATAAAAAAAAACAAAACAAAACAAAAAATACAGAACATAACAAAAACAAAAACAAACAAAAAAACATTGAGCATCATTAATCAAAATGTTTTTTTTAACCTTTACGAACGATTGTATCCGAATCTAAATCATCATTATTATTATTAATTGATGATGATTTTATACTACGAAATGATCCGGTACGTTGAAATGGTGATGAACGATTTGATAATGATGATGATGATAAATCGATACTTGATTGTTTAGAAAATGTTTGTAATTCATCCAAAAGATTGTCCAACATATTTGATGCAGTTGTTTTTGTTGAATCAGTTGATGATGGTGTTGCCGGTATTACCTGTATAATTGTATGCGGTTCCATTAGATCGGCATCAAAACTCTATGAAATTTGATTGATTAAAAGCAGGTAAAATCAATTAACTTTTTTGTTTTTTTTTGTTAGGAAAAAAAACATTTTACAATTTGAAATTGAAATTTCAAAAAAAAATAAAAAATATTTTGTCCGGGTTTTTTGTTTTGTTTGTTTGTTTTGAAAGAAAATTCGTTATCAGCTACGGACCTTATTCTTAAATGTTTTATTATCAGAATTTTTGTTGTTGTTGTCAGCCTTGTTGTTGTTGTTCTTTTTGTTGTTGTTGTTGTAGTTTGATGATTTATTATCATCGTCATATTCATCATCAGCATCGATAGAATTTTCTGAATTAGGTTCTTCAATGGTGGGCATCGATGCAAATCCTCGATATAAACTTTTTGTTTTTGTTCAGATTTTTTTCGAGAAAAAAAAAAGTAAAAAGTTTTTTGTTTTTGGTTTCAATTTAAAGAAATCAAATTCAACAACACACAACACACACTTTACACACAAGGTAACAAAAGTGGTTCAGGTAACTTTTCATAAGATTTTCATGCAATATGAGTGATTTAAAAAAAAAACACAGCAACAAAAAACATTTTCATAAATCAGTGAAAGAGTTGTTAAGGGTTAACAAAAAAAAAACAAAATAGATAATATTTACTCAATCTTATAATTATGGCTACATAAAATTGGTCGATGAAAATGAGCACTTCGATGCCAGGCTTGAATTTTTTTCGTCTATAAATTTTTTTTATATCCAACCATCAACCAACCAACCAACCAACAAAGAAGAATGAAAAGAAGAAGAAACGAAAAGAAAAAATTTTATCAGTAAAATTGAATTTCCTTTCAATTTAGTATTTTGACATGGATGATGGTCACAAAAAATTAGTTTGATCGATTAGAATTATAAATTGATTGATTTTTACAACAACAACAAATTAGTAGAATTTAGATAAGGGGGTAATTTTCGTTTTTTGTGAGTGGGGAGAGAGTGTTAATAAATAATTCAATAATAATGATGATGATGATTATTTGTAAATTGTTGTTTTTTTCTCCCAATCATCATCATTAGAGATAATTCAACATTTAAAAAACAAAACAAGAATCAAATAAATTACCCTTGTTGTTGTCGTTGTTGTTGTTGTTGCTAATGTTGTTGTTGTTGTCGTCGATGATGATGATAGATCACGTCCACCACCACCACCACCAGATGATGATAACGGTAAATTTTCATCAATCGAACCATCTTTTTTATCTAAACTTGATGATGTTTGTAATAATTGTGATGATGGTGATGATGTATTGTTATTTGATGAACGTTGTTCTTGTACTGATGCCAGTCTATATTAAATAGATAAATAAGAATTAATTAACCCAGTGGAAGAAAACCGGTGGGGAAAAAAATGAAATATAATTACCGTTTTAGTGTGACCAATGTACCGGTTAATTTTTTACATCGTTTCAATGAATGTTCTAAACGTTCGGGTTCTTCTTTTAAAAATCTTGTTTTTTTGGGGAAAAAATTGAAAATTTTCAATATAGAAAAAACAAAAACAAAATTGTTTCATTGTTTCAAACACATACTTTTCTTCTTTTTCAATTTCATGTAATTCTTTTGACATAATTGTTTTAAGATTCTGTGCAAGTAATGGATAACGTGATTTAAGATCGGCAACTGTTTTTGAAGCTCTTGATAATATTAATGCCATTGATTCAACATTTGACATATTAACACGACAACGACGATTAATAACATTTGAACGTAATGATTCTACTTGTGCTTCTAATTCTAATAGATCACGATCTAAACGTATTGCATCATCATTATATGAATCACAATTTATACTTATTTTTATACGTTCTAAACGTATTGGTGCATCAATCGGTTTCGTTAATAATGATAATGTTTGTTGAATTTTCAAACAATTTTCTTTCATTTGTTCACGTGCATTATTCATTTGTTGTACGGTAAAACGTTTTAATTGTCGTATTTCTTGTCGTAAATCACGTGCTTTTCTTCGTATTTGTCTTAATTGTTGTAAATTATTATTATTATTATCAATTGATATTGATGAATTCATTTCATTTGTACGATAATTTACTAATGCTGATGGCTTTGGTGGTGGTGGGGGTTTTGGTCCTGTAGAGAGAAAAAAAGTTTAACAAAACAAAATCCATTCCGGAATATTATTCTTTGGACACATACCAGTTGTTAAAGCTTTACTAACAACATTTGTTAAACTGGCAATTTTTCTTTCCATTTCTTGCATACGTATACGTGCTTCATCATCAATAACATTCGAAGTCGATGAAGATGCGGCTTGCTGTTGTTGTCTAGCGATAAATGTATTTGGATTACCAACAACAGCAGTTGTTGAAATTCCAGCTAAATTATTTGGATCAAATAATCTTGTGGACGGATAACCACCAGGTGGTGGTGGATGACCAGGTGGACCACCAGCAGCAAATGATGCTCTTAATTGTCCAATATTTATTAATGTTGCATTTGTTGGTATTGTTTGTCGATGATGTTGATGATGTTCAGGTGATGATAAATAACCAGAAAATTCACCAGAAATTTGTTGATTTGTTGCTGTTGTTGGTTGAAATTGAAATCTTGTTGTACCAACAATAGGATTTGTCCGGTCTAAATTAGGATAATGACCAGCTACGGAATATGGTCGATCGGGTAATGGTCGATTATATGGTTGTTGTTGTGATGATTCATTTGATGATGATATAGCAGCTTGACCATTCGATCTAGCTAATTGATGTCCTTGAATCATGATTATATCACCACCGGATTGAGGCACCGAATTATTTGGAAAATTACGTTGTGGTTTTGGTGGTGGTGGTTGAGCGAATGGATTCATAGCGGCTGAAACGGGATTTGGATTCATTAGATGTGTTCCACGTGGTAATGTATGTGAAAAATCTATCGAATTTTTGATTTAAAATTAGATTTTCTTTTTCAAAAATTTAAAAAGAAACATCTTACTTGCAAATTGTTTATTTCTAGTCGGTGGTATTGGTGGTTGAACAACACCGGTAATATTTTGATTGATAAAAAAACTGGAACGTGGTGGCAGTGGTCCTAATGTTGCCGAACGATATTGTGGTGGTAACATTATTGTACCATAATATTGTGATTGTGGCGGTATATTAGTAGCATTAGCATTAGCAGCAGTTTGTTGTTGACCAATCATTAATGATTGATGACCAACAATTGGTGATGGAAATCTTTTTCGTTGATGTATATGTTGTGATTGATATTCAGAATCAAATTCTGGTTCAGAAAAATAACCATAATTTCCATCACCATCATGATGATGACCACCACCAACGTTAACTGGACCACCGGTAGTAAATTGACCAGATTGAGCAGCAGCGGCTGCTGCTGCAGCAGCCATTAATGATTGATGTATAATACCACCACCTGGTTGTGGACCATTAATACTTTGTTCATAAATTCTTAATATACATCTATCTTTAACATCATGTAAATCTTCTAATTCATAGAACATATTTTTATTTGGATCATGAATGTAGATACGAACTGATGGATGATCCAAATATTCCATTGATAATTGTCGTGGAAATGACCGAACAAATAATGCTTTAACAGTATCAATGGATGTAATTTCATTTGGTAATAATGCACGTTTTGTTTCATTACGAAATTGTAAAAAAACTAAACCCATTGAACGATCTAATGATTTGGATGGTGTACGTACGATTGGTAATGATGAACGAATTTTATTTGTTTGACGACGATTAAAACCAGTTGCTGATGTTTCAATTTCAGACATAATACCTGGATCATCATCAAATAAACAACTGTTTGTTGGATTTTTTGTTTGAAAATGATGAAAATAATTTCTATCTAATGGTGTTGTACTTTGTGAACGATTTGATTGTTGTGATGATGATGTTTGTTGTCTATTTTGTTGTTGTTGTTGTTGTTGATTATTGCTATTGTTGTTGTTGTTGTTGGCGTTTGAAACCATTTTATTCTGTTTCGATTCGGTTGATGATTCTTGAGGATTTTTATCAACATTCGTTGCCGCCGCCGCCGACGATGATGACTTTGACGTAGCAACATTATTGTTCTTATTTCGGCTCTTTTTTCATTGTGTAAACATTGGGAAAAAAGAAAGAGAAACGAAAGAAAAAAAAGGAAATTATCATCAAAGTTTTTTGGGTTAAAATAGACAAACAAACAGAAAACAAACAAAAAAAACCATCATCAATTTGGCTCATAATTCAAGTAACGATTCTATTTTAACCCAAACAAAAAATTTCCTATAGGAAGGAAATACCTTTCGTTTGATTGGTGATAATAATACTTCATATAAAAGATGTTTTGGTGAATTTTTCATTTTATTATTCTGTAGATTCTGATGATTATTCTGTACATCTAAATTTTTGCTATTTTTCAACATTTCCTTTGTTGTTTGTCGTTGTTGTTGTTGATCCATATTCTGCTGTTGTTGTTGTTGTTTGTTATTATTCTGAAATATTGTCGAACTAATTGATGAAACACTTGTTGTTTGATTATCGGTTGGATCATCATCATCATCACAATCATCAATTTGATCATTTTGTGCAGTAAATTGTTGTTGCCACTGTTGTTCCAAATAACCATTCAACTGCTCTGGATCAATATCAAAACAAACTTGACGTATTGAATAATTTTGTTGTTGTTGTTGTTGATTGATTAACATATTTGTAATCGATTGTTGATCGACAGTCATCAATCGATTACCTTTTGATGGTGATATTGTTATTATGGGTGATCTTTGTTGTTGTTGATTTTTCGATGATGATGATGCGGAGGCAGAGTTTGCTGTTTTCGTTTTTGTAATTGGCATTTTTGTATGTGTGTTTGTTTTGTTTTGAGCTAATTATTTTTCGGGTTTTTTCGGTTATTTTTATTTCATTTTTTTCTCGGAAAAAAAGACAATCAACAACCAAAGCGAATTTGCAAAATCGAATGACACGATAATAATGTTGTTGTCCGTTTTTGACAAGAAATTCAAGAAAAAAAAATCAATAATCGTTTGTAAGCAAACAACAACAACAACAACAGTAGCAGCGAGGCCAAATATATTGTTACAAAAAATAAAGAAACAGAATTTGGAAGAAATAAAAAAAAAGATGTTCACTGCAGAATTTGATCGATTTTTGGATGAAAAAACAAACAGCAATCAAATGTAACGTTTAAACATCAAAAATCATCATTGATGATGATGATTGATAAACAAATCATCAATAATAATCATTATTATTCTTGAAAAAAAACGATGATAGAATTTGTCAGATTCCGTAAAAAAAACACACACAGAAGAATATTCTGTGTATACACACAGAAAGTTTAAATAGACAAAACACAGAATAAAGTAGTAGCATTAAACAGTGTGTGTTGGTACCGATATTCTATAGAATATTCTGTAGAGACAGAATCTTTGTGAATAGAGCAAATGAAAAGAATAAAAATGTTCGGTCCTACACAACATATTCTTTCAATCATTTTTTTGCTTTTGCTTTATCATTTTTGGCCAAAAAAAAAATTCTTGTTAGTTAAATGAATGAATGAAAAAAAAAATGTTAAATGTTATTCTCTCTCTCTCTCTCTCTCTCTCCCGGACTATATTGGAAAAGATTTGCTTTTTTCTTTTTCATTTTCCTTTGCCCGGTATATGAATAGAAAGAAAGTGAGAGAAAAACACACACACACACATTCCATCATGATGTAGCGGATTTTCAAAATTCGAATGAATCATGCGCATCATTTCTGGATTCTGGATTCACATTCTGGATAAACAGTCTGTACAATGCGTGTGTGTGTGCAGGGTAGAATTATTCTTTATGAATACATTTTTTTTCTTCATCGCTGCTGTCAAAGAATTGCAAAAACTTTTTTATAGAAAGAAAACGAGACTACTGTAGATTTGTTATCCGATTCTGTTATTCTTATTTCTTATCCATTTTTTTTATTTATTACACACAGATGATGATGTATCCCTACTATGAATTATTAGGATTTTCTTTTTCTTTTTTTTCAAAATTCTTTACAACTGCTGTGTGTGTTTTCAAAGCACTGATATCGGAAATTCGGAAATGCAAAAATTCTTTTCACACACATATTTTCACAGATTTCGGAATATAGTTTTTTCTGGTCGGAGGGGGAGGAAGATTCATCACTTTTTATCAACAGAATCATCATCGGAATCGTCAGAATGATCATCATCATCCTGACAAATGGAAAAAAAATCTTTATTATTATTTTTTTCAAAAGAATTTTTTTTTTCATTTCAAAATATCCAAAAAAAAATTCTTTTTTAACACTGAGTGATATCAACAAAGATTTCAACAAAAAAGAAAGGAAAATTCAATAAAAAAGTTAACACAAAGATAAGAAAGTAACAAACGAAAACGATAATGATAGACAAGAGATCAATCGTGGTTAAAAAGAAGGAAAAATGATAATTTCTCCCAATAATGATGATGATGATTTAAATAAAGAAAGATTCTTCATTTTTCGTCTGGTAACATCATTAAATTTTTCTATTTGAAACATTACATAGTCGCACTGGATGTGGACTACCACCATTTCCCACCACCAACAATAATAATCATCATTGAAACCAGATACCATTTGGTTTGGTTTTCGTTGGAAAAATATGGTTTTTTGTTTGCTTGATTTCTTTTTCTGTCAAAATCGTTGTTGTTTACGGCCATTTTTTTTGGCTGCCCTCAAACACAACACATCCAAAATCATGGCCTTGTATATATAGATATTTAGTAATGAAAAAAAAATGTTTTTTGTTTTTTCCAAAGAAAATTCCCAAAAAAAAAGAAAATTCTTGGAAATAATTCTGGCTATTTATTTTTTTTTTGTTTCGATTGACGCATGCTCATAACAAAAACAAAACAAAGGAAGGAAGGAATCGAATGTTTGCTTTTTTCCCATATTTCTTATGGTAATTAATGATGACGATGGTGGGAACAGAGAAACCAAAAGGCTAAAGACCTTAAAGCATCCATCATTTTCACAAGGTTAGTAGTGGTAGAGTATGGTGCTTATGGGAATTTGAAAAAAAATTTTAAACATTCGATTTTATTTTCTACATGAAAATGATAGAAAAAATATTGGTAAAACATTGAATAAAATGAATATGATTAGCCAAAATAATTCAATAATTTGATATGGAAAAAATTCTTTATAATTAATTTTATTTTGAATCCATGAAACAAATTGTTCATCATTATCATCCATTAATGATATAAATAATAATTTTGTTGAATTAAAGCTATTTATATCGATTAATAATCCAATTAATTGATTATAAACTACTTTATTATCATCATCCTCATCATCATCATCATAATCATCATCATCAATAGGTTTATGTTTATGATGTTTAGGCTTTTCGTTAGGAAATTTACCCATTAATGGTAAACCAATAAATAGATTCTAACCAATTTTATAAATGAAAATTTGTAAATAGAAAAATTTGTAAATAGAAAAATTTTGTTAGTAACAAAAAAAAACTTACAATATCATCAATATTTTTAATCATTGAATGAAAATGACATGGATCCGAACATTCAAAATAATTATAAATATTTGATTGTATTTTTAAACATTTCATTCGATGATAACAATTTTGATAATGATTATAATAATAATTTGTTAATTGTTTTGATAAATTTGCCGTTATATTACCATTACTATTACTATTATTATAATTTGAATTTTGTAAATCTAAATTCAAACCAAATAATATATCAAGATTTGGTATGAAAAATTCGTTAAAATTCTTTGATGACTGTTGCGCCATCTGATGATGGCCAACAATTTTACAAGAATTTTCAAATTCTTGTACAAATTTTCTTGTTTGATTGTTTTGTGTTGAATTTTCATTTTGTTGTTGTCGCAGTAGTTGTTGTTGTTGTTGATGATCAATTTGTAATAAAATTAATTTAAATATATTTGGATAATGATAAAAATAATAATGATGAAATTGATGTATAAATAATCTACGTATTTTTATATTCATTGGTATTAATAATGTTTGATTGTAATGTTTTTCGATAAGATAAAATTTTAACATATTTTTTTCAATTATATCATGGCTATTATTCGATTTTTAAAAAGATTACAAAACAAATTACAAACTACAAAATTATAAAAAATAACCTACAAACCTTTTTAAACATGAACTTAATGTTAATATTAAATTATTATTAATTATATAACCTAAACAATAATGTGATTGATAACGTGTTAATGATACAACTATTAATATGAATGGCATCATTTTATTCTTATTATTAAAGGCTTTGCCTTTTTTTATTTGTTTTTGATTTTCAAAACCAAACATTAACATTAAATTCATTCAGTGGGTGCAAAACGACCATTATCCAAAGATTAATTTCATAATAAGAAAATGAGAAAGAAAGTAAGAATTATCTCATAAACAACAAGAAAAATATATAGAGAAAAAAACTCACAAAGAATTATGTTGTTGTTTTTCATTGAATCATTATGATGATCAATGTTCATTACATCATCATCATTATTATTATTATCAGTTTTATAAAAATTTCTATCAAAAATCAATGGATTTTTCTTCTTTTTATTTTCGATAATAAAAAGGTTATTGTCATTATAACCATCGTTAACGTTATTATTTTTATCAACAAAAGAATTTGCTTGATTCTTGTGATGATCGGATATGGTCGATGTTGTTATAAAGCAAAAGAATATGAAATAAATAATAAAAAATTGGTTGGACATTCTTCAAAAACCCAAAAAAACAAAAAAACTTTTTGTGGATTCGAATGGCTATTTCACCGTTTCGCTATTTATACAGCAGTTGGTCAACAACAACAACAAAAAAAAATCGAACACACGAAATTCGAATTCGAAAAACTCAACAAAAAATCGTTCGAATTTCAAACAAAAATTTGAGCCAAATGAAATGATGATGTTTTTTGAAAAATGAAATGAAATGGAAAACAAACAAAAAAACTTACCGAATTCAAATCAATAGCTGCTGTCCGGTTAATTGATTGATTTTCTGTTTTGATTCCTGATTCCGATGTAACAGCAACATCAATACTACTTGATGTAAATAAATGTTTACCATAATGATGATTACGTGTTGCTGATGGTTTTTGATATGATCTTGATCGTCCATGATGATGATGATAATGTCCACCACCATTTATTAAAACTTCTTCACCACCACGTGGTAAACTTATTGATTGTTGTTGTTGTCCATTTATCGCTGTAGAATTTGTCGTTGTTGTCGCTGTCGATGTTGCATTCGAACCTAAATTCAAGCACAAAAAAAAACAAATAAAAAACGAAAAAAATTCAAATCAGAATTCACAGTGTTTACAAAAAGACCAAAGGAAAACTTTTAAAGATTCACGGAAAAATCAAAAGTTTTTGTTTTTTTCGGTTACTTTATATGACAATCAAAACAGAGAATACAGAATCCAGAAAGTGATGACGATTAATGACAATGGAAAGAATTTTTGTTTTTTGTTTGTTTTCATTTGAAGAAGAATAAAAAGAAGAACAAAAAGAATAAGAATATTCGTTGAGTCATATAACACACAGTCAAGTCGAAATAGTTTGTGAAAATGAAAAATCGTTATTTTTGTTGTCATTTTGCTAGTTGTTGTTGTTTTAGTTGTCTCTTTTTTCGGAATTTTCGGTGGAACAAAAATCAAATAAAGAAAACTTTATCGATGTTCATCATGATGATGATGATCAAGAAGATAATGTGAATTCATGTGTAAATAGACGCAATAACTATATCAACAGAAATGATGAGTGTTTATTCTGGAGAAAATTTCCTTAAAAAATATGTTTATCATTCGAAAAAATCAATGTTTGTCAAAAACAAAAATGAAAAAAAAATTATTCAAAACAAACAGAAACTTTTTTTTCGGGAAAATTTCTTTTCCGTAAAATTTCTCTTCGATTCGATCATCCGGTTGAATTTCGAATTTCGAATGATTTTCTTTGTTGACAGGATGTCTACAAATGATAATTTCTATTTCGACCTGAATGTGTATTACAATGTTTAAATTGCCAAAACGCAGAATTCAATCAAAAAAAAAAAAAAACGTTCGAAAGTCAATCAAATAAAAGTTATGAAACGAAAATACGAAATTCTCCAAGCAAAAAAGAAAAGAAAATTGAATCATCATCATCGCTGAATTCAATTGTTAAACCAAGAAAGAAAAAATTGAAAAATCAATCGAATTGAATTGTCAAACGTTTTGATTTTCTTTAAATTATCATTTTCTCTCCTCTCTCTCCTCCTTGGTTATTTATTCCAAAAGTCAAAAGTTTTGGATTTTTTTTCCAATCTTTTTTTTTTTGGTCGAAAGAAAGAAAATCGTCAATGAATCGGAAACAAAGCTGAGCAGCAGCAGCAAATCAATATTCAGTGTTCTGTTCTGATTTAGAAAATTGTTGTTTCGGATCGAATCGAACACCAAAACACATTCGATTCGATGAGTGAAATGTGAAATTCTGTGAATAATTCTTCGAAGAATTCTCAATGTTTGGCGATCAAACAAAGAGAATTCTTCGATAAATTCAAACGGCTTCTTCGAATAAGAAAATCTTATTTAATGCTCTATTGAGATTGGGGGAGAGGTGGGGAGGGAGAGAATTCTGCTGACAATTGTGAAAAAATAATAATAATAATGTTGTTGTTGTTGATGATGATCGATTTGATTTCGATATGTCATCATCATCATCATCATCATCATCATCGTCGGCCAAACGAAATTGAAATTGATTGAATTTTCATTTTCATTTCGTCGTTGTCATCATCATCATCATTTTATCAAGTCAAGATTCTTTCTTTGGTTGTAAGTAATCTTTCAAATTAGTAATGTTTTTTTTTGTTTGTTTGTAGAGGATTTAGCGATTCTCTTTAGCGATTTCGAGAATTTTGAAATGTTTAGTTTTTGTTTGACGTAAGAAGAATATTATTCTGGTCAAACAATTTTTTTGTTGGTCTCAATTGGCCACTTTGTTGTTGTTGTTTTTTGTTTTTGTAAGAATAAACCAAACGTGATAAAATTCAATAATTTTATTGCCAAAAACCAATAAAATTGGCTTTAAAATTGGCTTTTTTCAATAAATTTTCAGAAAAATCAATCACAATTCTTTTCCTTCAAATCAAAAAAAAAAAAAAAATTTGCATACTGCAGAATATTCTATTGATGGAATAATAGAAACTTTTCAAAATCCGATTATGATTCTATATCTACCCACTCAGCCACACACACCACACACACATGACCAGAATTTTTTTTTTCAAAAAATTTTCAAATTGCCAAAGAATCTTTTTTTTGGTAGAATCTTTCAAATTTTTTTTTTTTTTGCAGGGAAATCATCATCAATATAGCCAAATCACAAAAAAAATCGATTATTATTATTTAAGCTAACCAAAAATCGATAAAATGTAATTAATTTTTCTCTCTTTTTTTGCTTGCTTTGCTTTAGATTCCATTAAAAATGAATGAAAATGATTTTTCGCACTTTCTCAAATTCTCTCTCTCTCTCTCTCTCTCTCTCTCTCTCTCTCTCTCTTTCTC